ATATATATATATATATAACATAATAAGAAATAATAAGATATGGTATACATATAACAACATATAATATAATATAGTAGAATAGAATAGAATAGAATAGAATAGAATAGAATAGAATAGAATAGAATAGAATAGAATAGAATAGATTAGAATAGATTAGAATAGAATAGACATATATATATATATATATGTAGAATAATATATATATATATATATATATAGGTAGGGCTTAGGTAGGAAAAGGTTCAGGATCCGGAGTTTCAAGCCGAAGCCCTAAATCCTAAAGCCTCGATCATCCTATATAAACCCCGCTTTTCTTACTGGAGTAGCCACATGCACTTTAAAGAAAAAGAGAAAGAGAGAGAGAGAGAGAGAGAGAGAGAGAAAGAGAGAGAGAGAGATGGCTCTTAAAGAACGGCACATTTTGTGCCTTTTTGGGGGCGTACCTTGGTCCGTGTCTACAGCCCTAAACCCTAAACCCCTAAACCCTAAACCCCTAAACCCTAAACCTGTAATTTACATCAGTCCATCGAAGTCACTTCCATGTTCGCTGCACCTTCGCCGGGTCAAGGCCCCGTGCTTCGATGTACTGCTTCTTGGCCTCAGGCCAGGGGTGTGCAGGAACAGACAGCTTACCTATAGTCTCCATTGTAGTTCCTTTTTGGGGGGTTACCTTTTCGGATCCTTAGCTCAAGATTGGTTAAACCGAAAAAAGGAACTACAATGGAGACTATAGGTAGGGTTTAGGTGCAAAAAGAAGGGCTCAAGTACAATAGTGTTCTGAAAAGCTTGAGGGCTTTCGGCTTTGAAGCAATAGCCCGACTTGGAGCCAGAGCCCCTCCGGGACACACTCGAGGGCTCAAGGGTACTATTCAGCATCATCAGGTAAGGGAAAAACCATAATGTATTGGTCGGAAAACCTAGAAAACATAGTTCCATTATAGGACCTATATGACTCTAGTAGAAGAGACTAGACCCCCCGACCCTGTTCTAATTTCCCCTGTGTCCTAGAAGCCTTATAGTGACTTTTATACAACCGCCATAGAGGAACCCTGATCGAATTGCCGCAGCCCCATTATTCATCGCCCGAAAATCGAGGCCTCCTGGCGCATCTTCGCAAGGTAGCTTGGATCGATTTGTGCCTGCTCCACCTGCCAATTAATTTGTTGGGTGTCGGGTTGAGGGTATACGTGGAGCCGATAAACACAAGATTTTTAAGCACGTGTACGAGGAGATCGTAACAAGGAGTGCTACAAAGGTAGATTTCTAGGGGTTATAAGGCAGGGTTTAGGTTTCGGGTTTAGCCTTCGATACAGCTGTCAGCGAACAGCTTTGAGCTTGGGGGGCTCTTGGCGCTTGTCCAAGCCTCACACTTCCGCCTCGCCCGATGCTCCATACTGCTGTTCTGGGCTTCCTCTTTGCTTGATTCGAACATGGAGCAAACTTGGACCATCCAACCCTTTTCATTTATACGGGTTCGAACTTGAAACTGCGTAGTAAACCGCTTTCGCCCACGCTAAACCGGGTATAGTATAGTTATCGTACAGCATAGTATCGTAGAGTCTAGTATAGTATACTATACTATAGTATATAGTTATGCCCTAAACCCCTTTGCCCCCAGGGGAAACCCTAAACCCTTTAACACACCTGGTGGCAACTCTGGGCCGCAGGCTGGCCGGTCCGCCATCTTCGGAAACTTGTCATCTTCCCAATCCAAGGGATCCCTCTCCTGCTTGGGCTTTTACGGATTTTCGGAGTTAGGGTTTAGGGTTTGAAGGAGTCAGGACTAGGGGCTTAGGATGTACCGTTATTTTGGGGCGTTTCGCCAGGAAGTGTGCAGCTTCAATCTGGTTGGTTGGATTTATTTGGATATCAGTCTTGTTACCTTGCTTATCAATCCTATTATAAACCAAACCCTAATCGCCCTAATCCTAGTTACTAAGTCCCATGATACTTTACATTCATAGACATCACGGTATGTAAAGGACAGGGTTCGGGAGTAAGGTTCGGGAGTCTCGAAGCTCTCCAAACCCGACCTCGTGCCGATGGAAACTACAGATTTTTAGGACATATATCTACGAACATCATACTACGGAGCCATACAACGATGCTATTTGTGGTTTTGTGGTAGCTAGATCCTAAAACCCTTGCTTAGGGAGCCTTGGAATCTGCTGTGTTTGTGGCGCAGGGGCCCGTTATGATTAGGACCCACTTTGAGCATCAGCTTTGTCGAGTCCGCTATGGTCGAACAAAGTGAACCCGAAACCCTCATATGCTTGGCGATGTGGGAGAAATCCTTCCAAGACGGAAACATGTACATAAATAATCATATAGATAAACATACATACATACATACATACATACATACATACATACATACATACAGACAGACAGACAGACAGACAGACAGACATACATACATATATATATATATGTCAAAGAGCCGGTCACCGGAAAATCTTACGTGGATTCCGACAGCTTCAGTTTGTATAACCCCACCCAAGCCGGAAACAAATCAGCCCAGCTGCAAACAAAAACTAAATGCTAACCGTCCTAAAGTTTAAACCGCTATAAGCCCTAAGCCCCCACCACCGAAGAAGCGTCCTTCTTCTTTTTCTTCTTGGCCTCCGACTCCTCAGCCTCGGCATGAGCGAACGAAGCTACACGTCATCAGCTCGAAAAGCCGCTGTAGCTTTATCTCTAGCTTTACGGTGTGTATAGAGGCCGGGTGTTTAGAAGGGTTGGAAATGGATTCAAACACAAGGGTTTTGGGGTGAAGTACAGGGTTCTAGAACCCTGGAAGCCCAGCTACCTACTAATTATGTAGTACGTTACTTCGTTCTGGGTAGTATTATGTCTGTGATTGGCTCAAAGCACCGTAGCCCCCTATAAAGATAACCGTCGTCTGTCGTCCTACCGTACACTAACCTGACCTACACTTGGAGCTTTAGAAAGCTGCGTGACTGGGAGGTTCTGAAAGGGTTCGGGCATCTAACATCTATAGTCTCTATCGGTTCGGGATTTAATATTTACGGTTTAGACTGCCTGAACACACCGCCGCATCAACCGAACTGATGCCGCACTCGGAAGTGCACGATCTGCAGATCTCGCCCCGCAGTTCTACCCCTGGGACACCGCACAAGGTCACCGCCATCGGCACCAATCCTTGGCTGGCCACATGTGGTGTTAAGTGCTTAGCTGTCAGGGCTTCTACACAACAAATCGGAATCAACCTTAATCCCTGAAGTCGTCAATCTCCGTGCTCCCACGCCGAGACCGAATGGCCAGGACTCATTTTCGAAGTCTTGTGCGTCGCTCGGCTCGGCATGGTTGCGACCGTCTTGATGGAAAACACCTGCTTGGGGCGGAGATGTGGCATCAACCTCACGCTAGCATACAGGTGAAGCTTGAATCACTGAACCCTTGAACAGCGAAAAGACCAGATTCCTGATTTTCAACTCACGACATTTGAACTCTTACATGCAAATCATGAACCTCACAGGCACGAAGCTAGCTGCCTGAAGTGGAAACGTGTAAGCAGATGTAGGGAAACTCAGAGTCTCCAGGCACTGTATTGTGCCTTAATAAACTGCATAGGTTTTTTGGGGCCCACTATACTGTTACTATGATTATAGTAATAAGGAACCCCCCAAAATAGTATAGATATTTATTTAGGCCCCTATATATTAGCTCCTCATCCCGGTCTGCCACTTGCAATTGCACTTTCAGAGTTATTCGCGAGCCATTCTCTCGGAAGCATGACCTGAACCGTAGACACGCCAGACTGTACCGCTCAGCCCTCATCAAGCTTGAGCCCGAAACAAGAACATGAGAACCCACCCTTTTTCAGCAGGCTTCTCTCGCCCGGAACTCCCACCCTAAACCCTAAACCCCAAAACCTAAACCCTAAACCCACGAAACTAGAACCCTACAACTCTCTTCATCCGGCCTCTTGTCATGACCGACCCGCCTTAGGCGCGCGGTCTCATATTTGGCTGGTCATCTGTTTCGAGCCACGAACAGGACGAGCAGAGAATACTCCCAGTCGACTTGATAAGAAAAAGAGATGTCTGCACGTATTGCTGAAAGTAAACCATATAAACCCTTAACCCTAGCCCCAAAACCCTAAACCATGTTCTAAAGACTGAGCTTACCTTAAACGAGTAATTCCACTCCAGGCCCGATCCCGGTCTGAACAAGATTCTCAAGGTTCGTGGATTGGAATCGAAGGTTCAGGTTGAAGGGGTTTAGGGTTTTGGGGTTTAGGGTTCAAGCCCTGGGGTTGTCACGTAGGCTTGGAGGGGGCATAGTGTTATCCAGACATGGAGCCCAGGCTCAAGAAACAGCTTCTGATCCTGCTAAGTCCTTTGTGAATATCGACTCTCTGAGATCTGAGTGACGATCAAATGTTCTACCTAGAAGAAGAAATTCCCATTTCTGAAGTTAACCGATGTTGTGGCCACAGGTCTTCATTCGGGGTACCCCGGCGCAGAAATAACACAGATGAGCTGACCAACTTTCTACGCAATCAGCTTGCAAAACTCCCAGCCACATCATCTCACCTGTCTAACTGGCAAATCTGTCGGTGCATCCTGGATGCCTGACGAACATTACAAGGGCACTTAGACTTCGCCCCAGGCAGCTGCTAACCAGGAAGATGGGAGTCCCAGAACATAAGGGAGTTTCAGGACAGACGGGTTTAGGGTTTAGGGTTTAGGGATTAGGGTTCAGGGTTTAGGGTTCAGGGGATTTTTCCCTCTCGCATGGCAGAGATCAAAGCTCACAGGCGAGGTTCAATGGGAGGCAACTGAGGAAATTACTCAATATGTGGTGTGCATTCCTGGAAGCGCAGGAAGAAGAGAACGATGCCAACCAAATGAGTATGTAGGGTTTAGGGTTTAGGGGATTCTGTTTGGGTTAAGGGAGTTTAGGGTTTTGGATTTTAGGGCTTAGAGAGTTTACGCTCTCACAACTCGGACTAGCCAGGCAACTCGGACTAGCCAGGGCTTAGAGAGTTTAGGGTTTTGGGTTTGTTGTTGGGGTTTTGGGTTTTAGGGTTTGGTGCTTTTCGGTGTTGGAGCTCGCATGGCTAGGACACTTCCTACAAAGCAAGGGGTTGCTTTGGACCGGAAGTAAGTACATGTTTCGATTGGAGCTTAAGGTTTAGAGTCTGCGTTTTGGACAGTTTAGGACTTAGCTTCTTGGGTTTGGGGTTTGTTAAGGCTGAGGGTTTTGGTTAATGACCCTGGTGTTCTGGGAGTAACAGTAACATTGTTACAGGTACAATTTTCGGGGTTAAGCTCAACTGGGTTTAAGGGCCGCAGGGGTTTCCGTGCCAAAACCTTGAAGAAGAACACCCCGAAACCTACACCCTGTTCGTCCATGCGATATGCAGAGCTCCGTCGAGCTTACCAATCATATCCGGGAACTTTGCAATCTTGCGGGTCCACGGGGGCTTAGCGGGCTGCAAACAGAGATTCGGCGTTGAGGAAATGCTGTCCGGCCCCCTGCCTCCAAGTAGTCCAGACTCTCTGCCACAGCCGCGACCTATGGAAACCCAAAGTGCGAGAAAAAGTTGAGTCATGGTCCAGGCATGGGCGGGCATGTTCAGTAGAGCACCTGCGACACCGACGCTCTTTCAAGGGCCTATAGGGTCTTCACGGCTTCGGCTGTGTGACTCAGGACCTGTTTCTTGAGTGTATCTCAAGGTGAAAGAGCCCCATGTCCAGCGGCAGGACCCTATGGCCGTGAGCTGGACCGTCATCATGGGGTCTCAGGGTTTTGGCGCTCACGCTCTTACAAGCCAGGCGAGGCTTGAGGGTTCAGGGGTGGTTGGATGCATAAGACGACAGACTCACGCACACCAATCTTCGAATCACACTTCATCTCAGCTCGGGCCCACGCCAACCGAGGATCCGTAAAACATGGGGCACCTGTTGCTGGCAAGCAACAACATGTGCACTCCTAAGTTGTTGGCATCATTCCATGGCTTCCGATGGTGAAAACTATCCGAAGACTTTCATCCGTCGTCGGGGTGCCAAGACTAATTTGAAGTGGGGACTTCCACCCTCGACCGACCCTCTGCTGCCTCGAGCAGCAGGCAAGTTTCAAGACATGTTCATGGTTTGCCGAGCCAGCCTCCGTCGTGGGCCTTGAACCAGGCTGCCTGGCAGGATCTGTGTTTTCGCTAGCAATCAGTTGAGCCATGGTCTCTACCCTAACATCCGGCAGAACTAGTGTTCTGGGTTTAGGGACACTTCCTATACTTCATGTGTCCAGCAGTCCATAATGAAGAAGCATCATTCATGAAGCTGTCTGGTGGAGCCAGGATCAGCTGACTGGGAAGATGCTGAACCACCCCTAAATTTCAAGAGACTGAAACCTATGAGCATCCCTGGGCCGCACCCCTAAAACCTAAGCCCGAAACCCTATAACCCTAAACCCCAAACCCAATCATAACCCTAAAACCTCAACCCGAAACCCTATAACCCGAAAAACGAAACCGTGTAACCCTAAAGCCTAAACCCCAAGCCCTCTTCTGCTGCTGCCTTCAGTCTCTCGAGTCTTTCCCCGACGGCAACGCCAGCCTTCATGAAAGATCGGACTGAGGGTTCAGGATGTTAGGGATGGTTTAGGGTTAGGGTTCAGGGTTTAGGGTTTTATGGAGTTCAGGGTTTCGGGTTCGGGGTTTTAGGGTTTATAGGTTTTAGGGAGTTTGGGTTTAGTTTTCCCACCCGCTTTTTGGGCTTTAGGGTTTATGCTTTTTTTCCCACAAGCCCAGGGGTTTCGGGTTCAGGGTTTTGGACGCTTACACTCGGCGAGTGCCAGCCAAGGTCAGGAGATTAGTGACGAAAGCGTGCATGCTGAGAACCTTTACAGTTTTTGTTTTTTGTCGGGCCCGTTTGCATCTGCCGAAGCGGCTTTAGGGCTTTAGGACTCGGGGGTCTGGATCTACGGCCTTGCAGCATTAAAGGCATTGTTACCCTAAGGGTCCAAGTACCTAATCGTCATATACTCTTCTGAATACTAAGCTACAAACCCACTATCCGTAACGCAAGTACATGATCATTAGGTCATTTGGACCCTTAGGGTTAGGGCTGTTAGAGCCGTTAGAGCTTGAAATTCTCACATGCTTAATAACCTCTGCGAGGCGAGACTTGGGCTTGGGTTTTTATAGGGGCTTAAACCAGAAACTTTCTCCAGCTTTTGGTGCTGAGGCGAGTCCGGGTCGCGGGCTCAACGTGTTAGGGTCTGAATCTGCGCCAGAAACACTGAACGCAGATCATCAACGCGCTAGCCAGGAGACCGGAGACGATCTGGCCTGGTGCCGCAGCTGCTGGGGTGGCATGGCCACGGGCAGCAGAAGTCGAGGGCACAAGCACAAAGCGAAGTAGACGGCTTCGAGAGTTAGTGTCGGGCTTGAGGGATCTTTCGGGCTCAGGGTGCTGTATGTAGGCTGTGGGGTTGAGCTACTGTGTTGCCGGACTTCACGAGACGCGTAGCCAGATGCCGCTGCTACAGTTCTAGTGGCATTTGTCTTTCTAACTATCATGTGACAAGCAGACATGTGGATAAGCCACTTGAAGGTAAGCGACACACTCCAAACAGCAGCCTGCTGAGGTGGCAGCACAGGCTGATTGAGCCGGCAAGACGGACAAGCGGGCAGGAGCTTCGCGTAGCTTCCGAGTGACCAGCCTAAGCCCTCTACATACACTTATAAAAATGTGTGTGTGTGTGTGTCTATCTCTATGCCATCTTATGTAAACAAAATATATGTATACAGACAAGCAGAAAAGCCTAGTTGCACCGGCTTCAGAACTTCTGCGAGTGAGCCCCGTGCCAGGATCTCTCAGAGTCAGCCGAAGCACTCGGCTCAGGAGGAGCTTTAGGTGGGGGCCTCAATAATGAGAATAGAGTTTTGGGGGTACATTATAGTATCATCATAACCAGGAACCCTCAAAATAGCACAGGTGATTATTTAGATTATAGTACAATCAGGAACCCTCAAAATAGCGTAGGTAATGCTTGTAATGCTTGTAATGCTTGTTCCGGAAACACGCTCAAACTCAGAAGAGTTTGAGGGCAAGTGGATGGGTTGCGCGCTACCTTCAGTAGGAAACTGGCCCGTATATTATTGTTGACACTCAGACTCGGCTTTGTTGGTTTAGGGTTGAGGGCCTGCACTCCTGGTCTTGCTCTGCCAGATAACTTGATAAACAAAACCCCAGTCCTCAAGCTAAGTCAGCAACAGCAACACTGCAAGGTTTCAACGTCCAGACGCCCACAAAAGGCTGAGACTATCCAACGGTGCGACAGCAGAGCTGGCTG